ATTTTTTTCCGTGTAGTATTTGCTATGATTTTGTTAAAATTCAATTAATTATAAAAAAAATGTAAAAAACTTGGAAATATTCGACAAAATTCCAATTTACATTACGTTCTCTGACAGTTCCATACTATTTATCTGGAAATATGATATTTTTAACTATGATAAATAATAAAAGTATATAATTAACATATAAAATATAATAATATGAATGATAAAAAAATCAAAAATATTCATAATCCCTACACAATATTATAATATCATAAACGTTAAATAATAACAATAACAACAATTATGATCTTCAAAAATTTATAATATTAGATAGTATCCAAAGTATAAATAAAAGCGTGACGCTCTCCTTCCTCGTCTTTGTTTACGGCGCGCATTTCAAATGCCACGCTCGATCTGACTCGCGCGTTATTGAGTCAAAAATCATGATCAGCCTGGGTTTTGCAGGGGCCAGGGCAAATCAGCCGGGTATTTTCTGAAAGGGAATTTGATGCCCTTTCGAATGAAACAAGTTTCGTCCATAAAAGCGATAGACCCAAATCGCTTAGAAATCCAATTGTTAATAAATTTTTATTGCTCATAACGCAGGGGGTACGAGTTTGGCTGACAATCGTTTATGATAATACGACTTATAAACTACCTTTTGCAAGTAAATTTATCCATAAAAGCGATGGACCCAAATTTTTGCGGTGGGCTCTCGGACTAATGTCTGCCCTTCTCTCCCCGCTCGAAGCTTGCCGAGTGCCGAGTCAGCCGACTGGCATATCCCCTCCATCTGAGTAGTTCGGACACGATCCATAGCACGGACACGAACCATGTGTGTACCGTTACCGAGCGTAACGACGTAGTTGACGTCCACTTTCTCAGAGGCGGCGCGTCAGTATACGTCTGCTGGAACGGAATGATCCCGGTGGCCGCTCTCAGGTTTCTCTCATAGAGATATAAAAATAGAGTGCGCGAGCGAGCTAAAAAAGCGATATAGGAATAGAAAGAGAAAGCTGCGCATGGGCCCCTTCTGTCTTTGTTTCGCATGCACGCGTAGACAAAGATAGAAAGGGCCTATATGCAGCGTTCTTTTTCTATTCCTATATCGCAGCCTCTTACGTGCTAGCATATGACTCGCGCACTCTATTCTTATATCTCTATGGTTTCTCTCTGCTTGAGCAGAATGCAGAAGCCATATGCGCATGCGCTATGATATTTGTAGAGCTCTAGAGGTGATCCTAAAGCCGTGATCCTAGCCGGTTTTTTTCAGTTTTTTTCTTAGCACTAATCTTTTAATTGGATTTATAGAAATGCAAAATTCTTGTTTAGAATTAAAGTACGCATCAAAATCTAGGTCATGGTGGTCGAATTTATATGTGGTGGTCGTCACGTATAACAAAAAATATTAATTAATCTGTGTTTCTACCATCTGTGTCTCTGCTCAATGTATTGATTCAAAATATCGAATATCAAATGGCCGATGTATCGATATTTCGAAATATCGCATATCGATTCGAATCGGAAGTCAAACCTACTAACCTAACCTCTAAACATTGACGACAGACGTGACGCGGCGGCAGCGACGTCAGCGACCAGCGTCAGCGCATTCACGCCGTGCACCGCGTCGATTCAGGCTTATCTCTGTTGGGCACGTGTACCATTTTCTCGTAAAGTTGAAAATATTCACAGAAAATGCAGGAACCTATTAAAATGGAGGTTGATGACAGTATAGTGAAAGATGAAAATATCGAGGCTCCAGAAATCAGTTACGAGGAAAAGCTACGATTTGTGAATTCTATTTCCGAACCCATGGCACCGAAGAAACTAACCAAAAAGATTTACAAGTGTATAAAGAAAGGTGAGCTACTTCAATCGCCATCATTATTTAATAATAGTACTTTGCAATAGTAGCTCAATATATACAGTCTATCTTATTATGTATAAAATAATTTCTAATTTAATAATCATTTTTTCAATTAATCATTTTTTTCTGGATTGCATAAAATATATCTGTTAAAATATCATTTAAGTAGACAGTAATTATATGTGCGAATAATTTTTATTTATTACAGCATCCAAACATAAAACGTACCTGCGCAACGGTTTAAAGGATGTACAAAAACATCTTCGTAAAGGTGAAACAGGGTAAGCTTTATTTTCCAGATTTTCCTTCATTGAGTATTGGATTGTATGTACGTCGAGATATTACACAGATGTTTTTCATTTTTAGTTTGGTTGTCTTCGCCGGAGATGTATATCCTATAGATATTATGTGCCACTTACCAATTGTGTGCGAAGATAATGATATCCCCTATTGTTTCACTCCATCGAGAATGGATATTGGTACAGCGATGGGCATGAAGCGCGGCAGTCTTATGGTACTTATAAAGGAACATCCCGACTATAAAGATCTTTATGACGAAATTAAAACTACGATGAAGCGACTTTCTGCATCTCTATAGTCTTTACGTTTAGGCTAAACTTGTATATTACATACTTGTAAAATTGTATATTGTATTCTAATTTTCTGAAATTAATCGAGAATTATCGACCGATCTTTTTCGAACTGTGTTCTCTGTAAATGTACAATACAATATACAAAATAAACTACAATATACAAAATAAACTAGTTTGTAATATTAAATGCGAATTTTTTAATTAATAGTATATAAAATAAATTGTGGAAATCACTTAAAGTAAACATTTTACAGAATGAACTAGGACTTTATTAAGCCATTTTGTATATACTATTACAAACTATTTTATTATTAATCTTAACAAATCATTTCAAACATGTCATCATATTTTTCATTATACAGTGTCTTGTCTTGATTTTCTATTTACGAGAATAAATCTGTAACAAAAGATATAGCAAATATAGATTTATAATGAACACTTACGATTTTTTATTGTCGACATATTGTACATATAAAACAAATGGCTTCAAATTTTATTAAATTTTAATTTTATTTATTTACTATACAGTATAAATAAAACAAAGGATTTTTTGTAATTAAAATTTTTATTATAAAATTAGTGATAACTTTATTTGCATAAGATTGTAAAAAGAGTCATTTTTACTATTTAAGATTATAGATTAGCAAAAATGTTTTTTATTACCTAAATCTATATGCAATTTTAAGTATATTAATACTTTGGAATATTTTACTAACAATAAAATAAAATAATTATTGAATTATTATATATTTTTCTAATTCAAATTTAAAATTGACGTTATAATTTTTCAGCGTATCTTGTTATATTTTCAGCATATATTCAATATAAACTTCGCAAAATTCTGCAAATTAAAAGAAGATATCTAAAAAATACATTTAAGAAAAACATTATCTTTACGTTCAAAAATATACATTCAGCTTCGCAATAATTATACAACAAAAAGGAATTGATATTTGAATGAGAAAACGTAAAATCACAGATGTGAGATGTGTAATTAAAACTATTTAAAAGCGTGTCTGGTAAAGTATTTTTAACTAGTTGCAACGTATTGTAAAGAAATCTATTTATTCATGAATGATGCTGACATCCCTTGCCTCGAATGAGATTATTCGTACAAATAACACAGTCGTATCCGCTAGATATTTATCACGCCCGTACGTAAAAATAGTGCGTGGTATTGTGTATAAATATATTATGTTACATATCGTGAAAAGACTATTATCACCCCTCAAGGTAGATGAGCGTAGAACGACGATTCGCATTCACGCGCACTGATTGAACCGAAACGCAGGAGTCGTGGTCGGTTCGATCTCGATTGGGAAGTGCGAAATTAATCGTGGATTGTCGGCCGATCCTTTTCGAACTACGTTCTCTGCGTCTTCGTCTCGCGTTCTTATATATACCTTAAGATACCGCTGAACTAAATTTTCCCTTACAATTACGGAATATAAGTCGTAGTTTAGTAACTAATATTACTTATCCTCGTTACATCGACAGCTATAAAAACCTATGTTTCTTCCTTGGACTTGTATATGCCGTTCGATCGTGAATACGAAGTAGCGTGCATAATATACGATCTGCAAATCACAGGCTAATTACAATTAGAGCGATAGAAAAACTGAATATACGAAATATACTAATTGTGGAAGAAGGGACTCGTAAACTGAAATCGAATAGATATGTTGTATATGCCAGAATGCGTTTATCTATTTTACATTCCTAGACCGCTTAAGTTTCAAGCAATACTTTTATAAACGATTTCGATCGAGAAATGGATAAATTTTGGTGTTCACGTATGTTTTTCAAATCATAATTTCGAGAATTTATTTTTAATAATATTAAAATAGATTAATTATATTATTTTTATCTTCATGTTAAGTTTACTTTTTCAGACAACTATATATATTTTTCTTGTTAAATTTTCTTCACTTGATACTTTGTACTTTATAAGAAGAGAAAGCTGTAAAAACGCTACAAGAATAGAACCGAAGTTATATACGCAAAATACTCGAACTACTAATATGAGAAATAAAAATAAAGAAAGAAAATGTTATATACTGCCTTTAGATAAAAGTAAATATGTGTATTTGTAAGTCTAATCTAGAACAGTCTCAATAGCATATAAAGCCGCGTCCAGACTTGTATCATATCACCGTATCATATCGTGATATTTTCTTATCAAAATACGGATATGTTGGTTATAATGATACGCCAAGGCCTTGTTTTCAATTCGTATTCGTGTCCCGTATCTTACAGATTGAAAACAAGGCCTTGGCATATCATTATAACCAACATATTATCCGCATTTTGATAAGAAAATATCATGATACGATACGGTGATACGATACAAATCTGGACCCGGCTTATAAAAGGTTCATCTGTTGTGAGATCGAGAAGTCCTATTTCAATTCGTTCTCAATTAAATTGGAATGAGTCAAACTCTTTTTTTCTAATAATATAAAAAGAAAATATCACAGATAAATATATTTCGCTATGTGATTAACAATCATTACGTAGGAGCACGCGAGTTTATGGAAATGAAGCGTTTGATAACTAGTACCAGATATTACAGTGATATTATACATGATAGAATTTTATTTATCGCTATTCAGTGCTAAAATGTGTTTCTCGTTGGCAAGACGTAAGAAAAAGTGCACAAATAACTGTGAAGTCCATAATTCATAAATCTATAAATTGGAATTAAAAGATATTGAAAATATTGTTCGGCATAAGAACGTGTAAGAAAGAAATGGATGCAAAAGACAACGAATCAAAAGGTAGACACGGATGAATACTAGAAGTATCTACTAAGGTAGTCAAAATGACTAATTTATAATTTTTGTTGCAATATGTAAATGGGTAAATCGATCAATTTACTTTCTCTCCTTACTCCCTTTCTTAAAAAGATATTAGAATATTTAAATAATAGAAATAGGTATACGTTAGCCATTAATAGTTCGTGTTTGATAATTCTAGTGTTAAATGAGTTTAACAAAAATAGATAAATCTCATAGGTGTATGATATATATGTGAGATTAGACTCATCAGTTTTTCTCTAACCGAGAATTTTAACGATGTAACATTGTTTTTATAGCCGCGATTTTACTACCAGTATTTTAACATACCTAAAAATCCACAAAACTCTCGCTTGCTGACTTCTCGCACGAAATAACGTACCATAATTTGGGTCATTTATTTTGAAATTGCTTTTACGTTATAAAAAGATAAATAATTTAAACACGGCGTAACTTGATTCTTGCTTGAATATGATTTTTGGGTAAATATGCATATTAGGTCAAACCTCACCGATGACTTTGACCTTGACATATGTTGTCAAGGTCACCCTCCTGAGTGACTTTCAGAAGGTTTTAGCCGGCGGTCATTGTTTATTAAAAAGTTATAAACAAAAAAAGTTTGAAAAATATAGCAGATATTTTGAGTATTGGAAGGCATAAATGACTAATATTACGTTTTTTTTTTAAAGCAGAGAATACTTTATTTCGCGAGAAAGTCGCTGCTTTACCAAAACACAACATTTAAAGTAATAAATTGTTGATAAATTGAAGTCTTTTTGTTAAAGCAGAGAATACTTACATGGGTTAGATGACGCGCTTTAAACAGTTGAATACTTTTAAAGCGCGTCATCTAACCCATGTGGTATCTCGCATATTAACTTTCCACGCATAAAAAGTTCACGCATACACTTTCCACGCGAACCGAGGTTCACGTGGAAAGTGTATGCGTGAACTATTTTGGGGCTACCGCACCTCCCCCGAAAGCAGGGGGGGGTGTGTGCGTGAACCTCGGTTCGCGTGGAAAGTGTATGCGTGAACTATTTCGGGACTACCGCACCTCCCCCGAAAGCAGGGGGAGGTGTGCGTAAACCTCGGTTTGCGTGAAAAGTGTATGCGTGAACTATTTCGACATATATATTAGTCATTTATGCCTTCCAATACTCAAAATAGCTGCTATATTTTCGAAACATTTTTTGTTTATAACTTTTTAATAAACAATGACCGCCGGCTAAAACCTTCTGAAGGTCACTCAGGAGGGTGACCTTGACAACATATGTCAAGGTCAAGGTCATCGGTGAGGTTTGACCTAATATGCATATTTACCGATTTTTGAAAGATTTCATGTGCGCCAGTCCCTAAAAAAAGTGAAAGCTTAGCCGCATTATGCACAAACATAAAACTACATGACAGCATTGACAGCTTTCGTAACTTATGCATTTAGCATGTAACAACGTCCGGTAATTTATCTCATACATTTTCATGTTCATGACATCCGTGAAGCAACGTTGGAGGGGAACGAGCAAATGAAAAATAATTAAAGTAAAACATTTACGTGTATTAAATGTGACTACCATGATTATATTCTCGTCTCATATTGCTTCGATAACGTCGAGAAAATAAATTGTTCCGCGAAGAAATGCGCTTCTCTCCTTCTCGTTTTATTCTTTCAATCTCTCGCCCGCAAACGCGAGGTAATCACGCACAAACCCTTTGGTTTCTCAACTATCAATATGACATTATAATCCTATTCTCCTCCATTACCAACTTCGAGTATAAAATATACACACTTACGGTTAGATATATATGTATAATATATACATGAGCGACGAAGAGGACAACATTGACATCAAAAATTGACGTAGCGTACAAGTGGGACGTTATTCTCACCCTTGCTGGAACAGACATGACATATGCATCGCGTCTTGCCTCCGGTTATGCCGGAGATGCTTCCTTCTCTTCCACGCGTCTCTTCTCGTATCAACATACGTCCATTATAGATCGGGCAGTAGCGCGACATAATTGTTGCGAATGCGTGTATCGATCAGCGACGAAACGCCTATCGCGGCCTCCACGTAAAAGATTACAGTAAATTAAAATAAATCGGAAAAAGAATAATTTGCTTTGCTGTACACCTTCGGAATTTTTAAAGAGGGATTATCTTAATTAATCGTTCTTAATTCATCCGTGTGTATACGTTCCCAAGCTCTCTTCCTATCTCCGTTCGTTCTTCACATCTCACATTTGCACTTACAATATCTCACCCTTTGTTTTACGAGGGCGACGCAAAGTTCTTTCCCGACGCAAACTTACTCTATCTATTCTTTTACTACCGCGTTCTACGGTAGCGAGTCGATCAGAAAG